CGCGTATAACATGTATACATGTGTATAACAGCTGGCTCGCTGCTGGCTACACACACACACGAACACACACACAAACACACACACGAACACACACGAGAGCGATTACATTACCTCCCTGCAACTCCGTTGCGCGGAGGTAAATATGCTAGTTGGTAATTTGATTGTCCTGATTTTATCCTGCCAATGTGAAATCAAACTCAACTCTCCGTAATTTGGCAAACTGCTGTTTATCAAATGCAAACGAACCAAAAAGACATATACGGCCATGTTTGATAACGTATCCGGACGACTACCCACCGGACAACTACCCACCGGACAACTACCACCCGGACAATTACCCCCCTAGGACAACTCCCACCCGGACAACTACCCCCTAGGGTTAGGGTTAGGGTTGTCCTAGGGGGGTAATTGTCCGTGTGGCAGTTGTCCGGGTGGTAGTTGTCCTAGGGGGGTAATTGTCCGGGTGGTAGTTGTCCGGGTGGTAGTTGTCCTAGGGGGGTAATTGTCCGGGTGGTAGTTGTCCAAGGGGTAGTAGTCCTAGAATCGTTTGATAAAAATAGCGGTGGTGCTAGTGAGCGTGCACCAGTTACTGAGTTAGCATGCCATGTTGCAGAGATCAATCTCCTTTTAGTTCGAGTGAAACAAAAATCTGGAATCAAGCCACAGCATACTATTTTTTGGGACTAGAAGTAGAAAATTATGTTCTTGGTGTAAATCTAAATCAAATTCTTAAGTAACATCTGTCGCAAATTACCGTCATGTCACTTGACGATCGGAGAAAACAAGAAACGACAAACAGTAAGACTAGTAGGAAAGAATGGAGTAAAAGTGTAGTGTAGTGATACTGCTGCAGGAAAGTTCTGCTATTACGCTGATTGTTTTTAAAACGTAATTAAATGTAATTGCCACAATTAGTTATTACCTGCTAGTGCTATGTAATTGATGCAGCTAATGATTTTATTGTTTCAACTCTTCAGGGATAGAAATCGAAACACAGGAATAATCACATGCCGGGTGTGTTTGGAAGATTTCCAAACACAGATTACCTGTATCCTTCTTCGCCTTCATGAAATAATATGAACAGAATCTAAATATGATAAGTAAAATAAATTAAAATTGCATCAAAATCATGGTTCAACATCATGAATGAGATTTATACCTTGATTGGGTTGGTATTCATGTGTAATCAGTTCATTGTAAGAATCCTAGAGCATCCTAAATCAAAGAAATCATTTAATGATTGTGAATTAAAAATCAGGTTATTTGCCCAAAAATTTGGTTACTTTTCCCTCTGATTAGAGACACATTTTAGTTAAGATGCAGCTAAACGGAGTTTAAATGTGATTAATTTGTGCCATGCTAATCTAATGCGGCCATACAACTGTTTTATTTGGATAATTTATAGTTGTAATTAAAGCCTAGGACACACTAGCGATTCTGTACGCTGCCCGGCAGCGTATCTGTTCGCTCACGAATTTAGAACGCCGTACGAGTGTGGACACACTGTACGGTGTCCAACCGCTTCCAACGGCTTTCTAGCTTTCGTTGCTACACTTGATTGGCTGCTAAAAACAATCGCGTTCGAACACGATGATTCATTGCTGGGCGCGCTGGCGCTAGCTGGTGCAAGGCAAGCGGGTGCGTAAATATTCAACATGCTGAATGCGAGCGATCAGCCGGGCGTATGGGATCGCGTGCGAAATACGCTGCCGTGAGACCGGACACACCGCGCGGACCCGGCACCGTATTTATCGATCGCAAGCGGCCAGCGTAGAAAATCGCAGTGTGTCCTAGGCTTAAGATCAACAGGATTGGCTTGAAGCTACCACACAACGTTATCTAGCTAATAGTAATAGAGCCTGGTTTGCATAATTTCTCGAAGAGTTTGTTGAATTTGTGCAATAATTGGTTATAGGTTTTGCAATAATGCAGCATATGTTATTATTGCGTAATTTGTAAATTATTCACTTTCTTAACTTTCCATCCAGATCTTTCGGAGGCAGTTGACGTGTACAGTGACTGGATAGACGCATGCGAACAAGCGAATCAGTAGTAGCAGTGGCTAATAGATATACAATATTATAGTTAGTTATCAATTTTTGAATGTATGAAACGTCTCGATTATTGATGTCTCTCTTGCGAGGATTATCATGTTGACAATGCTTGTGACTAGTGCACCTGTGTAAATATAGTGAAGTCTTTGCTGGTGCATCCATCCACTTGTGTGCGCGAGATGATCTTATAGATGGAGCAGAACACCTTTGTAAGACATTTGTGTGCCAAAGCAATTTATTTTATCGCTTATCTTATTTTGTTCTTTGTATTTCTTTTTTCTGAGCACCCTTCGAATGATTTTGAACTGGATCATTTCAAATGATAAGCAGGCAAAAGGTGGAAGCTGTACATATCAGTCTAGATATAGTCTGTAGAAATTAGTTGGGAATCTTTAGAATTCAGTGGTAGCATTGTATAACAAGTGAAAAAGCAGTAGACTGTGCTAAATGGCCAATTGCACACTATTTCACTTTTTAGTATAAAAACAAACAGCATACTATTTGAGCAGTATTTTCATCAGCAGTACATATGATTGAAATAATACTATTGATGGTAGTATTAAACTAGTAGGTAGTTGTTGACATCATGTTAGCAAATACTGCGTCAAATACTGTGTGACCATGTGCTGTGGTGTATTTGGTATAAAATACCTTACACATATAAACAGTGTGGTGAACTCTATAATGCATATACGTAATAAGACGTTTTGGCATGAGTATCTCAAAATATGTTATTTTTTAATAATATGGGTTTTGTGCATGTTATTGTCAAGGAAACGATGTAAGCAGTAGATAGCAATTATTATGTGAGATTCTTCTAAAGCTTGCTTCATTGATAGCTCGTAATTCCATTTTAACCCCAGTGTTTGTATGTTAAGATGTAGGCATCCAGTGTAGGCACGTCTGGGTCGATATATCTTGGGTCATCACTCGGTGCTGCTTGTAGCATGGGAGCTGAGCACCCTCTTGTATAATAATAGCATTAGTAAAATATTGGTTTAAATTGAGAAGAAACGGACAAAGCTGCTCAAGATGTGAGGATCAGAGGGAAGATAGCATAGAGTAATGATGCTGGTTGAAGCACAGCATCCCTGTCCCAAATATAAGATTGTTGCCACTATCTTGTAAATTAAAGAGAGGTCTGTAAATTTCATTTTCATCCGGTTTCTCTAAAGGTTTTCACTATCGAAGACCAATGGATAATGCTAATAATTTGATGAAGCATGTTGTTGTTATGACATTTTTACCTGTGTGAATGGGTAAATGCAGACTTATAATAATGGTCAAAGATGTGTGGGCTACTGCAATTCCAACAGTACATACTAACTTTTGTATTGCAATGTAAGAAATTTTTGAGTTTGAATGTGCCAATTGGTAAAACCAAGTTGTCTGTAAATCCAGTTTCCACTTCATCTGAAGCAGTTTTGATTTCATGAAGACTGACGTGATATTGGCTTCAGCAATTACTGCGTCTGAGCAAAGACCAACTTAGTTCATATTCACTTTTAGTGTGAAAGCCATGTGGATTTTTATTTATGCGAAGATTAATATTCCACTTGCCTTTTAACTCTCGAGAGCACACGGTATTTTACGTATCGACAACAGAAGCAAAGGGACCGTCTGAGTTTCATGTCTCTGCACAGTTTCAAATCGTATGTGCCATGGAAAGGTGTGAACCCATGATTTCTCTCCGGTCGTTTTGTGTGTTGATGCAATCCTTTGCCACGTTAGCTATTGAGTCATGTCCTTTGGGTCTCAAAAAGGTAATATATATTTGGCATTCTGGTGGGCAAGTAGATGCACCACAAGTCGTGCACCAAACATTACGATCAATGAACGTAGTTATCAAATGTGTAAGATTTATCAGGCGTGTTGCACAATGACATGCATCAGTATGTTTAAAAGTATAAATTATTACAAGTAAAATCTATCAGGGACAGGTGTTTGTGAAAGGTTATAGTCTATAGGTAGATTTTATTAGCCAAAGAGTTAGTGTTCTTGCAGAACTATTAGACAGCCAGTGGCTTTCATGGGTATTGTGTATATATTCAGTCTTGATGTTGTACCATTTGCGCTCTTTATTTGCAATGTATGTGTATTCGCTTGTAAAGAATGGCTGGATCACAAAATAAGTGCGTGAATTAAGTTTGCATAACTAATTAACAGATCTGCAGGGGTAGAAATTAACTTTTGAACACGGGAGTCCACGGATGCCCTCAAAAAGAGGGAGTCCGCAGTCTGAGGTTCAAAATTAAAGATATTAACAATAACGCATGTGCTTATTTTTAAGATTCATGCGGTTGCACGTCTGCCAAATGTTCTTTGGACATTAACTGAAAAAATACGGCAATTCCGTGAGGCCGTACTCTTGGAACGAACTACATATGTAGTTAGTATGGCAGAATTTTCACGGAGTCACACGGACTCCTGCATATGTCAAATCAGGGAGTCCGACAGTAAATCAGGGAGTATTTGACTCCGGACTCGCACCCTGGATCTGAAAACATGCTAGCCAAGTAGTAGTAGTGTTGTATGATGAAATTGGATGTTATCACTGGTAACATAATCATTTGATTAGTTAGATTCTTCATAGCACCATCTGATATTTTCTGAATGCTTATGTGTACATTACATTTTTGTAGTAATGTTTTAGTTTTAAGCAGTACCAGTCATATGTGTATAATGCACACAAAGGAATTATTATATTTGATTTTGTGAGTTTTGTATTTCTATGAAAATGGTGTATGGGGAAGGTATTATTTGTTGAGACTTTCATGTCATGAGAACATTCAGTCACGTTCAACCATAAACGTAGCCATTATTATTCACCTGTGAGAAGCGAGTTTAACATTTCAGTTGGTTCGCTATGTTTTAGTTTGTTTATATTATGTTATTACGAGCAGAAGTAAAACTGCCATTTGATATGGCTCATATACAATCCACGTATTGCTGGGACAAGTCACATTTGGTATGGACACAAGTCACAAGACTTATCTCGGTTGTTCAATTCAACAGCCGACTACGGGACAGGTAAATAAACAGTTCTTGGTGAAAAGGTCCAAAAAGCACCAATATTGGTTGCACGATTTTGTTGCTACTTTGACTGGTCAATAATTTAGAGACATTATTTCATTTTTGGTGACAGTCTGTGTTAAATAAATACTTTATATAAGATTTTGAGATGATATATTTCTGGAATCACATTAGCACCAAGCTAAGGTGTAGTTGGGTCATGTGTTAATTTAGTTTAGGCACTAATCTTGAGCATGGTTTGTGGGTTGGTAGTTCTGTGGGCATTATCTCGCTAAAGATGGTCGAAATGCTTGCTACGGTGCCTTAATTGTTGTCACTGGTTAAAAAATTAAAACATCAGAATGAAACGTTCTCATCAACCGACCAAATTTTCTTTTGAGACTGCACTCGTAAGTGACCTATATACAGGCATAGTGAATATAATTTCGACAAGAATGTACTAAATAACGACACTTCAAAATAAAGATCGTTTCGTCATTTCATTTACTAGCAACGGCGTGAACTCGACATTACCACAGCTCACGGCATCAGTGATAATAATGCTTTAAATAAACGTAAACACACGTATGCACACAGGGCTGGCAGCGCCAGTGTTCTTCCCTCCTACCACTATGCAAATATACACACAATCGAACGGATAGAAGAACAGTCGATCTTACGCTCCACCAACAATACAAGATGCGGTACGCGCGCGGTGACCAGTCGTAAATATATAAGATCTCTCAACGTTCTTTGCGCCGAAAACAAAAAGGTCCATACGACAAAATGAGAGCGCGCGGGCGACTACAGCAGGATGCTGGTGAGATGCAGCGCACACTCACTGACCTTCGGCGGATCCGAGACGGACGTTGCTGCGGCGACGAGGCGACTCGCTCCGAGCGACCTTGCGAGCTCGACCGCGCCGCCGCCGTCGTCCCACAGCAGTGTGCCGAGCGCGACCAGCAGGCGGAACGTCGCCTCGCGGTCCGGCTGCATGCGCAGCACGCTCACGGTCGCGCGCACGACGCACTCGCCGCCGCCGCCACCGCCCGCCGCCGCGTAGTTCAGCAGCAGCGTCGCCGTGGCGACTAGCAGCTTCTTGTCGTCGCGGCGAAGCTCGGCGCATGCCGTTGCCGCGGCGACGACCTCGTCGCGGCGCGCGAGCATGAGCGGCGCGCCGGCGACGAAGACGTTGCAGAGCGCGCGCCAGCCGAGAAGGACGTTCGCTTGTTGGTTGTCGGGCGCGGCGGCGAGCGCGAGGAGTCCGTCGACGAGGCGGGGGCCGTCACGGTCGTCGCAGAGCCGCGCCGCCGCGTGGCGGTTACACAGCGCCAGCCGCAGTACGTCCAACGCCGGGAAGACGACATCTGCAACGACGGAGGAACGCGCGCGGAGGTGAGAACCAGTGCAGGTAAGTTGTCTTTGTCGAGAATTGATGAAACCAATGTTGGGAGTGAATGGCCGAGAGAGAGAGATACAAAGACAGAGGGAAAAGAGAGAGAGAGTGAGAGGCAGAGACAGAGAGAAAAGCGAGAGTGACAGAGAGAAAAGAGAGAGAGAGACAGAGACAGAGACAGAGAGAAAAGAGAGAGAGACAGAGACAAAGAGAAAAGAGAGAGAGAGACAGAGACAGAGACAGAGAGAAAAGAGAGAGAGAGACAGAGACAGAGAGAAAAGAGAGAGAGAGACAGAGACAGAGAGAAAAGAGAGAGAGAGAAAAGGGGGAGAGAGGGAGGGAGAAAGGGAGAGAGTGAGAGCGAGAAGACGTGTGGAAATGATTTCTTGTTCGGTTCGGATTGCTTCACGTGATAGCATAGGGCTCACAGTATATTTACCGTGAGTGCTGTGTGCATGGACATCTCTATGGATGTAGCATTGGAGATGCACAACATGTCAAATGAGAAAGTACAGAGAAAATCGTTACGTCCACATTTCATATGAACCTATTTATGTGTGCTTGAAACTAACATGTACTACACGTCTAGCTTCATCGAATATGGCTCCACCTTTTACCGCGTAAGTATACGTTGCAACGTTACGATGCATGGAGGAGATGTACGCTACCTTTAGGCCATCGTAGCAGCTTCTCCAGCAGTACCATCTGCGCGTCTGTGGGTACGTGGTTGTCTTTTAGAAGAGCTCTCACCTCGCTCGCCATCACATCTTCGGGCACCCGGTTATCCGCATCCACCCTGGCATTAAACTCGACCAGCTTCGCTACAAAGATACCACAAACACAAAGACGTTTCGGTGATGCTAGAATCGTAACGTGTTACGCCGTGTCCCTAGTGGATGTCATTAAATGAAAACTTCAACGACAAGACTAGTTCAAGAACAAGTTAAACTTCAAAGGCAAGTTAATGTTAAACTGTAGAAAATGTCTCAAGGCACTGTGCATATATATATACATATATAGTTATTATATCGACATTGGCAATGCCCTGTGCGGCACACAAATTTAAAATGTAGAGAGTAGTTGCCGACTTTTACCATGAATTTGTGCACATGAAGTATGAAGTATACATTGCAGCGATTCTCTATTAAAACCCAGCACTCTTGCCAGTGTTGCTGGGTCACTTTGTCAGTAGGTGGCAGGCAACACCACATGCTACACTATGGGTGCGTGTCACAGGTTATTACCGACGATTGCATTCGGGTTTCTTTGCTGGAATGAAACAAACTTCTTCACTGGGAAAAATGCGTTCTCTTCCCTGTTGACTTTCGGTGAGACGTTGCCTGTGGGCACATATCTACCGGCTCCGGTGAATGGGTCTGACAGACCGTTCCGACTCCCCGAATTACTCCCATTTCCTGGAATGTACCTTGCACCTCCTGCATGTGGAAAAATAACCGTGAATAGATTTTATTGACTTCATGTGTATGCAAGATCGTGGTGAGAAAACAGCTGATCAAGAACTGTGACACTTGATACTGTGTACCTTGTTTTCCAATACTTGACTCTCCTTCTCCAACTCCTTCCTCTCTATTTCTCACATTTTCCTCTCTCTCTCAATCTCTCTCTTTCTCGCATTTTTCTCTCTCTCGCTCTTTCTCTCTCTCACCAGTCCGTCAATCCTCACTCACCCCCTCTCTCTCTGTTGTCTTATTATACTGTCAAATCGTTTCAATAGCAATATTGCATTTGCTTATAGTACCTGTGTATGGGTCAACGGTTGCCGACACAGATTGCTGAATTGTCACACCCTTTGCGTTCTCCGTAATGAAGTTTGCTACTTGATCCAGAAAGCTCTGACTCAGCTCATTATCTGTTCACAAAACACCGATCATCAATGCTTAACCACACACATCACAACTCTGATTCACTGTGATGTGTGTTAGTGTGTGTTTATTTGTAGTAATATTATATGCAAAACAAGAGCTTTACAAAGTGGACGTTGTTGAATTTAAATGAAATCGTACTCAAAGCTAGAAAGTAAAAGGGTAAAAAGTGAAAAAAAATATCATGTGGCTATGTATGAAAGCATGCATGCACACACTAACCAATGTTGGATCATGTATTTATGAGTAGTACCATTGAGAAACTTTTGAGCAGCAAACCACGGATCATCTGTAATGTTATATGGCAGCTTTAGTGGTGGCTTCCCCTCCTCAACATCTATACTAAACACGTAGTCATACTCCTGTGCAAAAAAGTACATACATAACATTATAAAACATGAAATATTGATGCATACACACTGAAAATCATCTCGTACTAATGCTTTCATGACTTTACATGCAAACAAAACGAGTTCATTCTAGTGACCGTGACTTCTGCCACGGAATGCCCAGTTGACAAAGCTTTCTAGTATCACTAAAACTCAGTGTGGTTTAAAAACAAGAATCGGTGACATTCTGTCATCTAAACCAATCAAATCGAGTAATTCATGTTTCGGGGTGGACACAGACCTTTCCCTCATAGAGGACCTTGCCAGATGTTTGTGGTGATGCACCGGCGCTACCTATAACATCGCCAATCTTGCTCCACTGGCATTCTGCTGCACTCCACTGGTAAGCTTCTACGTTACCAGTAGGTGTTTTCACCATCTTAGTCTGACCATCCCGATTACCTAACAAATAAAATTATTCAACGTGGTACAAAAACCTTTTTTACTCAGGGGAAATATAGGCAGCACAAAAATTCTCAGATGGCTTATAACGCGTAGTAGTAAGTCTGATTCGGCACTGCATTTATTCGAGGGATTTCAGCCACAGAGATCTGCAGTATAACGGGCACACGCCGCAGGGAACTCGCTTCACCTGGTACTAGTAGCGCCCTCTCGTCGGGTAAATCCTGAACTTTTATTTCACCCAGATCGCCTGTGTTGCCCGCAATCTTGAAGCTGGCGACCTCTTCCTGGAACAAGTGCTGATGCTCCTCGCTGGCCATTCGACCAGGGTCCGTCGTGAACACTCGTGCAACTCCATCACTGACAGAGATTCCGACATGCTCTCTTACAATCACAGTTTCATCGCTCTCTCACCGTATTCCGTAACGTCGCACTGATATTTCGGTAAACACCGCCAATCAATCGAGTCGCGTCAGCAACGATTTGTCGCACTGAATTCGTTGACGATAGGATTAAAAATTCGCTCAGAAGCTTTTGAACCAACGAAAGTGCAATTAAATTACACGTGCCACTTTGGTATCTAATGTTTTTATTCACGTTTCAGATAGCAGCAAGTAATAGGGGGTAAAGTTTAATATGCATTTCACATGAAAATGAAGCCATGTTAACCCCTCCCCCGTGGATGTAAACGCAGACGTTCAGATCATGATTGACAAATGCCTACCTTGAGCCGGCAATTATGTCACCATTGAGTAGGCAGGAGACAGACCAGATTGACTCGGCAGGTAAGAACAGTGTCTGTGTGCATTCATCATTTTTCCACACCTAGAGGTAAAAGTAGACCAAAATATCCCAGTCTGTGAATTCATCATAACATATGTCCTCATAGATTAATTCAGGATTTCTCTGCTGCTGGAATATTAGTTTCACACCTAAGCCATACTAGCTTTGCCCAACTTGTGAGGTAGGTGCCAAGGTAAGGTAATTAAATGTAAAATTTGCAGAGAGAATAATACATTTCATGAGATTTTTATGTAAACCAAGACAGGCACCAGGGGTTAGATGCTTACGTGGGCGATCAGACGATATATGAGGTTTGACTATATATAATTACATTATAAAGGTACAATAGGGAATGCACTAGCATACCATATGGTCGTACCAACCCTCAAGACTCCAACCGGTTAATTGTACCTCTTAAAATAAATAACACAATTTCCCCGCTAACTGATGTGTTAAAGTGATTACGTCACTGTAAATAATAATTAAAAACAAAATCCACTTTTTCACAAAATATAAGTAATTCTGTTCACTTTTTATGGTTAAATTGCTGCATTATACTTCTTATTTTACTATATTGTTCGATGTGAACATACACTCGTGACTCATACATAGCCCATAGCAAGCAATTAATGTTAGGAAGACTAATATCAAATCGTCCAGGTTTTTTGGATTTTTAACTAGTTGAGAAACAATCTTATCAGGTAAGAATTTGACGATGCGTTTAGTCCTGTTAGTTCTTACTTTTAATGTAAAAAATGGGAACAAAATTTTTACAAATTTTACCATAGAAAATTCGTGACATAGTCAATTTAAACAACACAATTTTCTGAACATATCTCGTAGTATCAGGTAGCAAAGTATTTCCAGCTATGTACTTGCACACTGGTGAAATGACTCGAGAGCACATTCATGCCACTCCACATTTCTAACAGGTTATTAATGAAATAAGTTACTTTAATCTCAAACCTTTAGAGATCGGTCTTCTCCCGCCGAGACAAAGTCCTGACCATTTGGCAACACGGCGATGGAGTAGATGAAACTCGTGTGTCCAGAGTAGATCTGTATACACTCACCGGTCACCAGCCATCGCCGTATCGATGAGTCGTTAGAGCAGGATAGGAACTCTACTGCGGAGAGTACCTCCAGTCCGCGCACACAGTCTGTGTGACCTAAGAGTTTATAGCTTGTAAGTGGATATCTACATACATGCGCGCACATACGCACACACAGACAAGATAAAATGTCTAAACATCCATGATTAAATTTGTGATAAACCAATCTTAAATTTACCTTCTAAATTCATAACTACTATGTTGACTACCAGAGGACTGACTATATAATGTGACCTATATTTTGTATTTATGTTGAAGATTATTGGGCATATTGCGATAATAATTTTTCCCATGCATATATAACTTACAAAAAATATTACCATGAAATTCATTAATCTACGTGTCACTCAAAGCATCTCCCTTCAAAACCTTGCACACAAATGATGTGCTAACAGAAATCATTGAATTAAATCGATGAAAGCGATTCTCAACAAAAATATATGGTTTCAAATACCTTGAAAAGTCCTCTCACACTTCCCAGCTTTCCACATCTTGATTGTTTTATCTGCTGACCCGGTTAGCATGACTCCACATTCCGGCATTATTTTACCTGCCCAAATTGCAAACTCGTGGCCCTGAAAAAAACATATTCAATAATCTTGTGGATTCTTCATCTGAAAAGGTTACTGACCAAAGTTGAACTTTGGTCAGTAACCTTTTCGGATGATGAATGTTAGTTGACTGACCAATCAAAGTTGATTAAGAGCTTTCTGTTTACGAGAGAAGTAACCTAACTTCCATTATTATCTCCAGTTATATTGCACATTATTTATGCCATGGTTTTTTACTGGATTCGGTTTGCTGACTCGGACTTTCATCACGAATTCCTCAAGACACAAGTCAGTGCGCAGATAAATAATGCACGTGATTTCAATCATCAGTCATAAATACCTGAAGTGTCATCATCAACTTCTGGTTCAGCCACACTTTTGCTGTCATGTCCCAAGAGCCACTGAGAATTGTGCCAAATTTGCCTACAGCTAAGCAAGACACTGTAATAGAGACACCCAAGTTTTAACTCAAGAACTTGTATCATTTTTGTAATTCTAAAATTCTTTTAGTTCATACTTATTTTGCACATGGATAAGAGGAATGTCTACTATGAAGCATTCACATATAAAAAAAATTGCATGAACTTTTATTTTATAGCACTATGCCTATCTCGTATTCATGCCTTGCCCCCTATGAATAAATTAATTACTTAATTATTAGCATAAAAATAACCCTTTCTGAGTTATTTATAATTAAATATAAAAAAGTAACATTTCTACATCGTGCTTTTCGTCAAGAATAGCTACCTGTGTCTGTATGACCGCAGAGTTTAAACACAGCCTCGGCAGAATCTAAAGAGAATGCACAGATGGTTTTGTCATGGCTTCCAGTGAGAATCAGGCCATGTGGATATTTTTCATCAGGCGGAATCACACAGATGCAGGATATGAAGTTTGTATGGCCACCCATGGAGTGCACTTCACTAAAGCCAGAGTCACACCTAAAGAAATACACATGCAACGTAAGGTGCGAAACATACAGAATTAACACGTTAATGCAAAATGTGTTTAAAATAATATAATCTGGACATCAGACAATAAAGTTTACTTACAAGGAAATGCAAATGAACATAGGAATCAGTACTGAGCGTTTGTTAATGTTTGATAGGGAGACTGAATTATACAGCATATATACAATTTGTAACATTGGCATAATACTATATAAACTAATAGCCTAATAGGGATAACCAGTGAATAGGACCTCAATTTCATACAACTAACTAGTTCGTTGATTGTGCCCAAGTGTTGAAATTATGGAATGGGCATGTATTAACATACGATTCTGATACATTCCAGATTACATTGTGCTGCTGAGGTCATGGAGACAGCAGAAAGTGACTGCAAAACTGCAGAGCGTTGGATGGCCCAAATGATTAACATTTGTGGAGCACAACAGTAGTTATGAACCACAAGCAACGACCTTCTCAATTTCCCAACAAGCACGCATCAGTTAACATTAGAAAAAGAAGGATCCTCTACAATGTGCTACTAGTATCATGTCCGGTATATTATACTGGAGTGTACTATTATCTAAGATCGAGTTCATGCTACCGTTCTCATTAATAATGTGGGTGTTGGTGACAGGGAAAAAAATAAAATTTATTTTTCGGGGGCTACTTTTCAAGCTCGCGTGCATGAAAATAGCACTCTAAAATTTGGTTTGCATTGAACTCTATGCAAATTTACGGGGGCTCTTTTTGCCATTTCCGGGGCTCTTTTGGCATTTCGGGGGCTAAATCGCCCCGAGCCCCCGTGTATTTTTTTCACTGGTTGGTGATGCATACAGATTGGTCACATTGGCTGATTTCACTGGTTTGTTTAGAACATGAATAATTATAATCATACATGTGATGTGTAAGTGTGAACCACTGGTACTGCCAAACGGCATGCTTAATGGCATAATAGGCCCATTGATTTATATGCAATGTTGACGAATGCTAGACTAACTGGTACCTTGTGCAGTTAATAAGTACATAACCTTACATCCAAACACGTGTTAGCTTGTCCAATATCACTGCTGGTTACATTACAAACAAGACTTGAAATCGGTTGTTGATATTTATCAACGTATCATTTACGTGCCGTAAATGTCATCAAGGAGTCAAGCGATGACGTAAAACATTTGTTCGGCCTGTATGTTTTGGACGCCAGATAAAATGAAGGTGCCAGTGGTGGTCCGTGTTTCATATGTGGATTCCAGGTTCATTACAAATATCGGTAGCATGCCAGCTGAACGCAATACAGCGGCAAGAGCTTTCAAGCAGCTGAACGGTAACAGCTGGAGATGATCTACCAGTGCACAGAGATACTGCATGAACGAATGCGCACTCAGACCACAAGGATCGAAATCACTGATGATAGCATTGCATACGTCCGAGCATGCATGCGAAAATGTCCGGTGCACTATAATCTGTATCACACCCGCTTCGGCGGCTGCGGTTTAAAACTGTAAACAACTGATTTGTTTGACAGCGGATTTCAATTAGACATTTCTTAGTAACCAGCAGTGATATTGGACAAGCCAATACGCATTTGGATGTAAGGAGATGTACTTATTAACTACACAAGGTGCCAGTTACTCTAGCATTCGTTAACTTTGCATAATCAATAGGCCTATTATGCCTTTAAAATCACATTTAGTTTAGACATGGAACATATTAACACAGTATAATTGAAAATTATTGAATAATTGTATAAATAAATTGAAAACATAACATAATAAACTAACATTGATATTTGATACTGGGTGAGTGAGTCATCTCAATACAATAATGACGTTATTAACTTTAAGTTTGGACCTCACTGAGGGTTTTAATTTAAGCCTCTCTAAATAGAATTTTATAAAGAAGTCTAGAAAGTAGAAGACATGTCTCACAATACTTCATGTCTATACAATGGCTAGCTCTAGTAACTATAGCCCGCGTACAGTTGCCGCTGGCCAGCGGCAACTTTACGGGGGCTATAGTTACAGGCACTTGAAGCGTTTCAAGAAAATATAATGCTAAATAAATACGAAATCTATTTACTACAAAATTCTTAATGTTGCTATAGTCTCTTTCACCTATTATTGCCGACAGTTTCCTGTAAATTCCGTCCAAATCCTACGTGCAACCATATACGCTGCAGGGTTCTCCCCAGGATGAAATTGAAACAGGGGAGGGGGATTGTAAAGTTGTGTAAAGTGTTCAAAAAGATAGGTGAGATGTCCATGTAGATAAATAAGTGTTAAAAAGCCCGATAACTTTGCGTTTTGCGATCCATTTTTCATGGGGACAGGTGGTAACAGGTCGTAGTTGGTATTTCTAGCTGACAATGTGCTATAGCCCTGCGGCAGTCAATGTACGCGGGCTATAGTACTAGAGCTAACGTCAACGTAGCCCGCGCATACATAGCGATTTAAGTCGAGATTCATCAACGCGCTACGCTTGTGTGAGTACACCAACGAGCTGTCGTAGCTGCACTGCGGCGTGTATAAACAGCATGTTTTCGCACAGTCGGTGCCTATAATGTTGTAACAAAAGGTGTTTGTTCACACCTACACTAGTTTATGACACATACACTAGTTTAAGGCTGGTGGTTGGAACCAAAGACTTTCTGTTGACATCCTGCTTAGACAAGCGTCCACGTAAGTTTGGGCGAGTCAATCGCACACACACGCGCGCACCATACATCAAAAAGTCAGTGGAAGAGATGGCAGCGTTTGCAGCAGCGGCAGAAATAGTACAGAGACGAACAATTCGCAGAGAGCGTGTATTTAAAGATCGACAGGATCCATTCGATTTGCTGGACCACACGCTGTTCAATCGCTACAGATTTCTTCGGCATGCATTGTTGGATTTGGCAAATGAACTTTGCCCGTTAATAGAGCTACCAACAAGGTTTGTTTCAATTACTAATTTGTTTAGGATAAATATAATATTATCATGCAATACTAAATTGGTGATCCTGCAGAACTATAATGAGTATAATTATACAGTGAGCTCTACTACATTAATGATTGCATTGAAACGCGTACACTTGAAAGGCAGATTTGTAATGAACATTAAATTTAAACTAGAGTGCATTCAGTTTAAATGCTGTCAGCGATATTAGCAATGTTTATTTTTTTAAATACTGTGTTTGTTGATAAACCGTATTTTTTTCAAAAAGGCGAAGCATGGCAACTCCAGCAGTAACCCAGTTGGCAGTGACACTAAGCCTACTTGCATCTGGTTCCTTCCAATGGGGTATGGGTGAACTGCACGGAATATCGCAGGCGACAGCTTGTCGTTGTTTGCATCGAGTTGTGTCCGTGATCATCGGAGAAAAATTAAGAACAACGATCAAATTCCCTCAGACGCAGACCGAGAGAACGAAAGTGATGCATGAATTCAGCCAGATTTCAGGGTTTCCCCGTGTCCTCGGTGCGATCGACTGCACACACGTAGCTATTCGTGCTCCTGCTGGCGACATGGAATATGTCTACATAAATCGAAAGAACTATCATTCGATGAACGTACAGGCTATCTGTGATGCCAACATGACCATCACAGATGTCGTAGCTCGCTATCCTGGTAGCACACACGACAGCTTCATCCTTGCGAACTCCAAGATAGCACGCAAATTCAGTGACGGTGAACTGGGTGAAGGCTGCATGGTTGTTAGGGGACAGTGGCTATCCATTAAAGTCCTGGCTAATGGTTCCACTAAAGAACGTCCAAACAGCAGCCGAGGAGCGGTACAACAGGGCTCATTCGCGCACACGATCAATTGTTGAGAGATGCTTCGGATTAATGAAATCAAGATTCCGCATTCTAGACAAATCCGGTGGCATTCTGCTGCATATTCCTGAGAGGACAATCAAAATATTTACTGCAGAAGCAATAATGCATAACCTTGCTATCGCATACAGGTTGCCAGAGGTGGCAGAAGTAGAAGTGCTAAACGAAGAAGCTGCTGAATTCATCAACCCAGAGATTGATGTTGCAGCGGCTAATGTCAGGCGGCAACTCATACGCGTATGTTTTACGTGACTTGTCGTTCAAGTAGTAAAACATAAACGGACGAAAGTTGTATTCTCTATAAACTGTGCTAACTGTTAAATATAGATATTGAATGGTTTATCAAATTGTACATATACAAAAATACGTCAATAGATTTATATAAGCAAATGTCAATGTTTAGGCACAATAAAAATCAATATATTTAATATCATCTTGCTAACAAAATATGTTTCTAATCGATAACAATGATTTAACGTTGATAATATGCTGACTATCCTGTGCTGACTAAAACAATTCTTTTATATAATGTGTGCAGTTACGTGCACAGTATATATATATATGAGTCACTTTCAGCTAAGGTGTAATAAAATGTAACACTGAGGTAAAAATATAGATTTCTTAAATCCTTTATTTTAACAAAGTTATAAAAGTTGAACTTCATACAAAAGGCAATACAGCATACAAAATATAGTTTCTCGAACGCATTTTGGAAAAATTTATTTTTTTTCTCAACATTTGAGCAATTTGCGCGTTATTGTTTGACAGACTTTTTGTAGAATTTTCTGCTGGTATTCTCCAGTTAGCCCTATTTGCAGGCAAGAAATAGCTTCCTTTAGGTGGTGTAATGCTTATCAGTTCATAGAAACAGAAAGTCAAGCTAGAAGTGGTTGTATAACTACTCAATCACATTCCGCATGAATGGTGCGTGAGGTTGGGCTTTTAGATCGGTTCACATCATAATGTATCCATCTGACTCAACTGTCCAAATTCTTGCTAAGTACACCTACATACAACAACATAAATTTATAGAGTAAAATAGTTAGGCAGAGACAAGATACAAACACACGAAAAACAACTTCACCATATTCTGGGGGTGGCTTATGCGCGTTATATTTGACAGACGAAGTAAATAAGAGTTCAGTTTCACCAGAACACTGTCAGATCAGACTAAAGAAATGCACATCAACGAAAACAGAACTAGTTTCAACAGCAGCTCCAACCACCAGTTATCTATTACAGTCAATCAGCAGTATTTATCATGACTCATCAGCAATTTGTACAATCAATCAATATGTTTACCAATATTGATATTCAGCAGTTACCAAAATAACAATGTGTTTACAAACCTTGTTCAAACATGTATCAACAGTAAAACAGCAATAAAGAATAGCAAGCAACAAAGCGTGTCAAGAATGCGGCCGATGTAAAACTTAGGAGGACGAGTATAGAACACGGCGTGATACCCATCCTTCACAATCTGGAAAATTTATCAAGAAAGAGACATGATTAAGGGATATTTTTATGCCAATTGAAAGCCGACACTACATGCACTAGCCGCTAACTTTAGAGACAGAAACTTCTCTCCATGTTCTCGTGTTTTTTTCTATACTGTAAGTATCAAAAGGAGCAATGAGCATGGTACCGTAAGTTCCAATTTTCTTTTTCATGCAGATTTAGTATGCAAGACTATTATGATTGGCAGTCATTTGTGCACCTCCTCTAATCCATAATCCTGGATCCACCCCTAGTTCACTACTTGCCTCGCGGTTTTCTTGATTACCATTACTCTCAGACATGTCGGACAGATCATCACCGTGAACGCTTTCCATACGATTATTTTTTGAAAAGAAAGTCAAACATAAACAAAGTGGCATAGGCTAGATATGTACATAACAATAAAAAGGGGCAGGAGAAGCACATGTACTGTGACCCACCTATCAATTCAATCAGACTGGCAAAATCTTCATCAGTTACATCCTTGACAAGGGAAGAGAAAGAGTCATCATGGTCATCTTCTTCACCATGTGTAGCTACTGAAATAAGACAAGACAAAAATGAATACCAAGGACCAGGGATCAATGTTCACGCCCTTTAATCCATTGGATGCAGTTTGTAACCCGGAAAATTTTTGCGGATCCGCAACATTTTTACGTGCAATATCACTTTGAGAAAAAGAGTGGAATCTGCAAAAAAAGTCGCAAAAATTTTCCGGCTTACAGTATTTTGAATTCAAATTTACCTCCACTTTCCAGCTTTTTCAACAGGTCTTTAAGGCCAAGGGTATCATTTCTCTCTTCACTTCCAGCAGGTACATCAGCATTACCAGGCACTTCAATGACACCAGATGGGACCAACGGCGTATCAGGTTCTTCAGCCTCAGGCAAATTATGAGCCATCTTCGGGGTGCGTCTTTGCCATGGAAGTACGTACTGTCTGTTAATGCATTCTTGCTCTGTGTCGCTAATGCAACCATCACAATAGCAGGAGAGAAGGCGGGTGTCCAGGACTCTGGGACCGACACATTTCACAGCGTGAAGGGCACGGGTGCCAGCCAGGGACGCTTTCACCCCCCGTGTTGGACGCTTCCTCTCGATATCCCCTTTCTTTACGAAGAAAAAGGACCTCCTCTGTCCTTGACAGCCTTCCCTACTGAGTTCTTTCTCACAATACTCGAACATCTTCTCGGCATTTCCAACAACAACCTGTCGGGATATGACAGCTCTTCGTACTGCAGATTTCACTACCCCAGATACGCCGTCACTGGGCCCTTTCCCATGGCGGGATCCAAAGTAGCTCCTTTCAATTGAGACGCCGTGAGTCTCCTTTGAGAAACTGATGTCGGCAAAGGGCGTCTTCGATTTATATTGTGAACTGCAGCCATCCGTGTACTCCACAATATGAGTCAAATTCTGTCCCCTCTTCTTCATCAAGTGCTTGATTGACAGCATTTCAAAATGCTGCACAGCATGCGCATCGTGGGTTATGTCGTCAGACAGGAAAACAAGAGCTTCCTGCGACAGGTGACTTGTGCCATCTTCATGTTGACAGTTGTAATATGCCACTACAGGGTGGACAGTGACCTGGTTAGTTGCCCAATGCGCAGACTGGATTTCATCTTGCGAGAGACATGCATAATTCTCGGCAAAGTCAAGGACTAGAAGTGACCAACCATTTGGTAGCTTTTTCGTCAGATGGGTAAACTGGTCCTGCTGCCACTTGGCAGTAAACAAATGCTTTGCAAGTGTCACCGTGTTTGTGACGAGTTCCCCCAGGAAAGCTGTTAGTGTTCCACTTCTTGTCAACTGAACTTTTTTGCTCTTTTTGTTTTCCGTCATGTGTATATGACTGTGTCTCCCAACACTGCCAACTGACCATCATATCACCATTCTTCTGTAGGACGCTTCTGAATCGATCCTCCAACAGGAAAGTACCACAAGTGTTGCATGTCCTGTTGATGCATGGTAGCCGGTGAAATGGGTTGTCTCCCTTGGTGCACATCGATAAACTTGCTTGGTCATACTTATCACGGATCTTCAGCTCCCTGTCATCTGTGGCTTGTAGAGCGCGATTTAGACATTGGATTTTAAGGAGTACATCCGTACAGTACTCACACAAGCACTGATTCAGTTTTATATTTCTTTGCAACAACACGTGTGATGGCCGAAGTCTGCAGAAGACGGTGAAGGAGACAGCTCCGGGAAAGTCAGGGTAAGCTTCTTTCCACATCTCGTACGCCTTTTGGGCAGTGACTTCCATAACAAACCGTTGTTGCTGCTGCTTCCTAACAACAGTCCTCATCATACATGGCAGTTTTCCCCATAGAATGCTAG